CTGCAGTATATCTCATCAATCGAGTACCTTCCAGCTCTATTGTCTTTCGGACACCATTGCAGGCTCTCACTGACGCAGTTGTTGCCCCAACCATCCCAAATCTACCTCCTCATGTATTTGGTCATATAGCATTTGTACACATTCATAAGTATCAACGCAACAAGCTAACTTCTCAAGCATTGCGATGTGTTTTTCTCGGATATGCTACTCATCAAAATGGGTATCGCTGTTCCACCCTCCCATTCGACGAATGTTTATCACAATGGATGTTGTCTTCCATGAAGACCCGATGTATTTTTCCTCTGCGTCTAAACTTCAGGGGGAGTACCAGAATGAAATTCAGACTCTAGATTATGATTATCATATTTTTGAGGACAGCGATTCTAATGTTAATGACTCATAAGTTGGACCAACCAATCAGGAATCAGGCGAATTAGATTCGAGTGGTATAAGTTTATATAAAAGTGGGGATGAACACCCAGAAATGGAAAGTATGGCGCCAACCCCATCGTCGTCCGAGTTCGAGTTCCTCGTAACTGATATATCAAACCAATCGTCTGCTAAGGATGTTCCTGATTTAGTGCCTGAGCCATTCCGAAAACAATTACCACCACGTCACACTAGAGGTATTTCTAAACCCACATATGAACCTGAACTTTCTAGTAAAATTAAGTATCCCATGAGCAATTATGTATCGAACCATCGTTTCTCATAATCAAATTTGTCATTTGTAAATCAATTATCTACTATATCTATTCCTAACAGTGTGTAGGAAGCCTTAGCTAACCCTAGGTGGAAAGCAGCTATGAACGAAGAAATGAAATCCTTGCAGAAAAATGAAACTTGGGAACTCATTGATCCTCTACCAGGAAATAAACCAGTTGGATGTCGATGGATTTACACTGTGAAGTATAAAGCAGATGGCACAGTTGAACGCTTTAAAGCCAGATTGGTGGCAAAAGGTTACACCCAAACCTATGGAATCAATTACACAGAGACGTTCACACCTGTAGCCAAAATAAACACAGTTTGTGTCTTGTTGTCTTTAGCTGCGAACTTAGATGCATGGTGAATTATCTGAAGAAGTCTACATGGATCTCCCACCAGGATGCATAATACCCGAAAATTATAGTCGAAATGTCTGCAGGTTAAAGAAATCATTATATGGGTTGAAACAATCTTCAAGAGCATGGTTTAGAAGATTCACAAAGTCTATGATAGCTTTTGGCTACTGTCAGAGCAATTTAGGCCACACGTTATTTCTGAAGAAACAACAGGGTAAGATCACTGCACTCATTGCATATGTAGATAACATGGTGGTTACAGGGATAATCTTGAAAGAATGAAGGCTCTCAAGAAGTACTTGTCCAGAGAATTTGAAATGAAAGATCTAGGTTTTTTGAGATATTTTCTTGGGATCGAAGTATCTCGATCTAATAAAGGAATCTTTCTATCTCAAAAAAAATATGTCTTATATCTATTACAAGAGACTGGCATAACAGCATGTCAACCAGCTAAAACACCAGTGGAAGAAGGATTGAAGTTATGTGTTGAGTCCAACCAAGAACCTGCTATAAGAAGATACCAAAGACTTGTAGGGAGATTGATGTACTTAGCACACACGAGATCGGATCTGGCTTATGCATTGCGTATTGTTAGCCAGTTCATGCATGATCCTGGAGAGCAACATATGAATGAAGTTATGCGCATTTTGAGGTATTTGAAATCTGCTACTGGAAAATGAATTTTGTTCACTAAAAATGCTGGTTATCAAGACGTAGCTGCATATACTGATGCTGACTAGGCTGGAGCTATAGATGATAGGTGATCTACTTCTGGTTACTTTACCTTTGTAGGAGGTAATTTTGTTACATTGAGAAGCAAGAAACAAAATATTGTTGCTCGCTCAAGTGCAGAAGTTGAATTAAGAGGTATGTCGCTTGCACTTTGTGAAACATTGTGGTTAAGATTTCTATTGCGGGATTTGGGTTATCTACCTCGGCAACCTATTCGAATATATCGTAACAATAAAGCAGCATGTGATATTGCCCATAATCTAGTTTAACATGATCATACGAAACATGTTGAAATAGATAGATTCTTCATTAAGGAGAAGTTGGATGGAAAAATTGTGGAGTTACCTAAGATTCGATTTGAGGATCAATTAGCCGACATTCTCACCAAAGCAGTCTCAAATCAAGTGTTTTCAAAATTTTTAGACAAGTTGGGCATGTGTGACATCTATGCACTAACTTGAGGGAGAGCGTGTAGATTTTATCTCTTATAGTACAGTTGTAGGATTAAATTATTTACTCTTTAATTTAGGACTAATTGGTAAATAATTAGTTACATATTTTAGCTAATCCTTTTCTATAAATTGAATGTAATATCCATCAATAAATAATTAAATATAATTTTAATTCTCGTATCCATTCTCTTAACTACAAAATACTAAGCCACCAGAATTGTAATGCCCTTTTGGTTCTTTCAGAGGTAATATCCTAACAACCTTAATTAAGAATCAGAGTGAGGGACTCTTTTTTTCCTATTAGAAGAGCTTTATCCATGTCAATAATTTATCCCAAAAAAGTTTGTGTCAATAAATTCTTAGAAACCAAAACAAATTACAGATCCAGAATTAACTTTTCAGCTATAATCAAAATTCATCAGACACGGTATAGAATTGTTCTCAACGAAATAATAGAATTTTTCGTTGAATAACATCAAACTCTCCATATATTATCCTAAAATTAATTCATCTCTCAACCTCAAAACCAAAACCCAGACTAGAGTCGTTGATCAAACCCTAAATATATGTGAAGTTGATTAAAAAAATAGATAATTGTATAAAAACCTATATCAGCAGGAACAACTAAATATCATCAACCAATTTCTCAACATAATTAATGATAAAAAAAGGCATTAAAAACTAATCACCAGCAAAGTCATAACTATCAGGGGAAAAAAATATTAATCGAAGAATGACTGCATTTGAATTAAATTATAAAAGAAAAATCAATGGACTTACACATGCTTGATCCAAGAATCTGAATTGTCCACTGACCTAAAGCAGATCAACCAATGACTACAAACAGATATTGATGACAACAAGCAAATTCAATGGAACTTCTATGTGTGTGTATATACATTTCTACGGAACTTCCATCTGTTAGAGGCTTAGAGCACAGCCGACCAACGCGAATAGTACCAAAATCAAACAGTACCCATACACGAAGTTGATGGTGAACTCAACCATCGATGCCTCCATGCTTGCCGGTCGCCAGAAACTCCGCCATGGGTGACGAACCGATTATTTGGGCTGATTTGATGCCTCCAGCACGTCTCACCATCAAGGTTGCATCACTGCCCGCGTATGTCAGATCGCCGGTGAGTCAAGCTTTGGGTGATGACGTGGCTGTCTTGTGGGTTGGCTGAGGAGGGTTGTCTTGAATCCGGGGTGTGAGGCGGCGGCTGTGGTCACCACCAATAGTTACGGCAGATGCGGCGGCTGGAGTCCTTTAAAAAAGGGCATAATTGGAAGAAAGAAGGGCAAATTATATTTGTTTTATGTCAATTTTGAATTAATCCTCTCCATGATTAAAGATTAGAATTTATAAGGTCTGTTTGGTTAAATGCTTTCAAAACATTTCTTAAAAAACTTTGAATACATAAATAAAAATAAAAGACAATTCTCCATATTCAGACTTATTTTTAACTCAGTTTCCAAATAATACTAAAATTGACAGCCGGATAATTTTTGAAATGTTTTTAATTTGCTTTCAAATTCTTTAGCAACACAAAACTATTCCCAATCAAATGGATTGTTAGCTTTTTTAGCTCTCTACTTTTATAATCTTACTACCCGCTTAAATATTATTTAATAAAGCAAATTGACCTGGTAATTACTCCTAAAAAAATATAAAATTAAAGTAGTTTTTTGCTGCAATTTTGAAAAACAAGATTCTCTTTTCATGAACAATTGCGTCATTTTTTTCTTTTAAAAAAAGGTTGTTACTTTAATTGACCGCTACCTGAATAATAAATGAAGAGGCTCTCAATTTCTTCCAACATTGATAAAATTATTTTTATATAAATCTTCGGCTAACCAATGGGTGACAAGCATGTGGTATCAGAAAGACTTTTGCAGAAAGTCAGCCAAACACGTTTCCATGTTGGAACTGGGGCGTTGCCAGCTGATTAATTATAGATGTAATTTATGGAGTAAAAAAATGAAAGAGACGTCACTTGAAAAATAATAATAATACAACAGTATTACATATATATATATATATATATATATATATATCAATTAACCGACAAGTAGTAATATGATCACTTCAACGTATAACCACATATAATTGATTAGTAAATTACTTTGTGCATTCTCCATACGTAAGTATATACATATATATACGCTCGCGCACGCATATGCATACATATAAAATTATATATATATATATATATGTAAATAGGAATTAGGTTGGTCATTGGTGTGTTCACAAATCACAATTCAATCCAACTAATTCCTTCACCCTCAAACAAGTCAAAAACGTGGATGTCTGAGGGCCACTTTCTTTTTCAACGTCCCAATGTTTTGTACAAATGAGTTGTGGAGCTCCAGCCCTCAGTTCCATTTTCAGACCACAGCAAATATTTTTTTTCAATGTGTGTGCATATTGCATATACATAAACATATTTAAATTATATATATATATATATGACATTGTACATGGACTCAAACTGCATGGTTTACGCGGCTTAGCCACGTGGATGCATGTAAATTTTTATATACAATACCAAGTTTCATTCCTCCAGTTTTTGTTTCTCTCTTTTTTTTAAACCAACCCTACCTAAATTCTCTAGTTGACCAATTGGATATGCATCTTTTTCATACTGTTTGCATTCACTTTTCTCTTCACCTGCTTAATTCTCATCATATATATAAATTAATCACCATTGACACTGATGATCAATATCCCTTTCATCTTCAAATTCTAAACATGGAATTTTTGCAAACCACGTTAGGAGACACCCTAAGTGGTCAAAACATTATTGACCATCCAAACCATGGCATAGACTGTACTAGCGCCATGATCATGATCAGCTCACCTAGAGCAAGTAGTACTAATTCTCAGTCATCGTCCGATGATCTGAGTTCTCGTGTGGACTCATTTGATTTATTGGAGAAGTGTATATCGCGTAGTGATTCTGCAGACAATAGACTATTATGGCTACGTTCTCAAATCATTGGGGACGATGCCAAATTCGATTCCCCCTTTGGAAAACGCAGGCTCACCTATGCTGATCACACCGCCTCAGCCCGGTGTCTGCACTACATTGAAAACTACATCATCAATAATGTCCTCCCTTTCTATGGTAAGCAAGTCAATTATAATTTATATATACATATATATGTATGTATGTATTTCAAGTTCCTTATATATGCTTAATTTCAAGAAAATTCAACTTCATTTGGTTGAAAAAAGTATCAAATTCTTATTGAAGCAGTCATTTTGGTCGATATATTGTACTGCAACCATGCATCAAAACTTTGAGAGAAAATTTGATCATATGATTATATATGTTACATTTAATTTAAATTTTTTTTGGTATGATATATATATATATATATATATATATATATATATATATATATATATATATGTATGTATGTATGTATAGGCAATAGTCACACCAGTGACAGCTATGTAGGGCATCGAACCACAAAAATGGTGCATCAGGCAACAGAATACGTGAAGAGATGCTTAGGCTGTGGAGAAGATGATTCAATCATATTTTGTGGTTCGGGCACAACAGCAGCTATCAAAAGGCTCCAAGAAGTTATGGGAATTACTGTTCCCTCCATCTTGAGAGAGAGACTAATAAAAACCCTAACCAGTGAAGAAAGATGGGTAGTGTTTGTTGGGCCTTATGAGCACCACTCGAACCTCCTCTCATGGCGTCAAAGCCTCGCGGAGGTGATAGAGATCGGTCTAGATGAAAATGGCTTGTTAAACATGGAAGCTCTAACACTCCAACTCGAGTTTTACCAATCCACCAACCGCCCTATTTTGGGTTCTTTCTCAGCTTGTAGTAATGTCACCGGAATTAAATCCGACACACTCGCTCTTTCCCGGCTTTTTCATCAACATGGAGGCTTTGTATGCTTTGATTTTGCAGCAAGGTATGCAAATTATTTTATCCTTTTTTTATATTATATTAATGTTAATTTGTGTCATTTTAATAAATTGCATGATTGTGTTTATCAAATTGACCTCAAATAATGTATGTGTGACAGTGGTCCATATGTGGAGATTGATATGAGATCAAGAGAGATCGATGGCTATGATGCAATTTTCCTTAGTCCCCACAAGTTTCTCGGCGGACCGGGCTCACCAGGCATCCTTGTGCTGAGCAAGGCACTGTATCGGCTAAAGTCTTCACCTCCATCAACTTGCGGAGGTGGAACTGTTGATTTTGTCAATGGCTTCAATGAAGAGGTAACGTAAACACTATCACCAACATTTAATTTTTTGGTCATGTCATTTTAGTATTACCTAATTGACTAAATTGAATTTAATCAGTAGAGTGGTCTGACTTTTGCTTAATTAATTAACTCAGTTGAAAACTAATGCCCAATGACGGCACATACAATTATATGTAAATTTAGATTAATTCAAACATAAATATAATTTTTTTGTCAACGTACAACACATGAAAAGATTAATTAATGAATTATCTGACTGTCCAAAATTTTCCAGCAAGTGTGACAAGAAATTGATGTATCGTGCAAGGAAAATCTTAGCTAACAAACATTTTTTTTCCTGTGTTTATTGATTCAACGATGTAACGTACGTCTTATAAATGCAAATCTTAGTTCGACTAGTCAAATATTTAACTATGCTAATCTTGAATTAATTTTCAGGACACATTATACGTGGAGGATATAGAAGAAAGAGAGGATGCTGGAACTCCACCAATCATCCAGAAAATTAGGGCAGCGTTGGCATTTTGGGTAAAAGAATACATTGGTTATGAAGTGATTGAAAGACAAGAACAAATCTATATAGAGAAAGCACTTGAAAGACTTGTACCAAATCAAAACATATGTGTTTTAGGAAATACAAAGGCCAAGAGACTAGCTATAATGTCTTTTCTTGTTTACTCTACCACCTATTCTTCATCAGCTGAAATGTATTCTGAGAGCAACACAAATGGTCTCTACATGTGGAGCGAGACAGGTAACAAGAGAGATAAGCCTCTTCATGGTCCATTCGTCGCGAAGCTCCTGAATGACCTCTTTGGCATCCAGGCTCGAGGTGGGTGCGCCTGTGCTGGACCTTATGGTCACAGTTTGCTCAACGTTGACAAGCCTCATTCACTTGCCTTCAGAACCGCTGTCAAAAAGGTAAGACTTACATTTTTTCCCGTAAAAACAAAAAAATTGTTTTCAGAAAACTATAAAAAAAAAAAAAAAAAAAAAAAAACGTACCCTATTTGTCTCCATTGATCATTAATTTTCTTTTATCAACAGGGTTATAACGGAGTGAAGCCTGGATGGACGAGGGTTAGTTTTCCTTACTACATGTCCATTGAGGAATTTGAGTTCATTTTAGCTGCATTGGAATTCATAGCCATATATGGGCAGAGGTTCCTTCCCTTGTACCACTTCAATTGGAAAACTGGTGCATGGACATTTAAGAAGAAGGCATTCAAGGAGACTCTCCAAAATTTAGAGAATAATTGCAACATTTGGTGTTCATCATTGATGGCTATTATGCAGAATATAAACTCAAACTCTGATGAATCAAAAGAACACATCAATGTGAAGGCCAAAGATGATGGGGTGATCAGGAATTATGCATCATATTTGGAGACAGCCAAGCACATGGCCACTCTCCTACCAAAATTCCCATCAAAGCGTAGGGTGCCGGAGGACATAGATCTCAACCTCCTGACCTTCAGAGTCTAGCTTAAACTTCAAACATAGATTATTAACATATATATATATATATATACAAACATATATATCATATATTAATTTTGTAACTTGACTGTTTTGTCAGAAATAAATTTTGTTAGAAGTGTATTTTTTTGGGGTTAAAAAAGCAAAGAGAATATGATGTTGAGGACCTTTGATCAACTTGAAACAATGTTGGATTTTGTTTAAATTGTGTTTTATTAAACAATAAGACCTTGGAATTTTTTTTATATGAAAGTTCATACTCAAAATAGTGGCTTGTGTACCAATGTTCACCATTTTGAACTGATCTTTCGATTTAATACGATTGGGATGAAATTGTGTGTGTGTGAATTGTTTAACTAATCCAAAGAAGAGGGATAAAAAAATCACTCCCATTACTCCAGCATTGGTGGTTTTGTGGTACTCATTTTTTTTAAGAATAAATTACACTCACTTTTCTCGAAGTTTTCATAATGTGCATTGACTTCCTCTATTATTTGTCAAATTACATTTATCTCCTTTGAGATTTGTATATAAGTAACACATACCTCCCCTTTCTTATCCGTCAATAACAAAAAAATACCGATATTAGCAATTTTGTAATTTTAGATTTCTATTCTACCCTTGAAAGATATGTTTATTTCAATAAAATACTATATATATATATATATATATATATATATAAGGACAGAAATGTAATTACAAACTTGACAAGTCTAATAGGGAGATTAATGTAATTTGACAAATAATAGGAAAAATTAGTGTATATTGATAAAACTTTAAGGGATGTCATGTAATTTACTCTCTTTTTATTATTATTATTATTATTATTATTGTGAATTATGTCCGCTCACTGAACGGCTTTCACTTGCTGCCTTGAACGGCTAGTTTTCAAAATTTGGGCTTGGGTTAATTCCTAGTTTGGGCTTGCTGTCCTACATTTCTTCATGAAGAAAGTAGCAAGAAGCAAAGGAAGTTGAACATGTGAATTTTTTTGAAAAATAAATAAATATATATATATATATATATATGATTTTTTCATTTCTAATAATATGCTGAAGGTTTTTCTTTTTCCCCGAACGCTAAAGCAAAATTGTATTTCTATAAATATATATATATATATATATATATATATATGTATCATATATGTAATGATGTACAGTGTGGGCCCAAGTAAGGCCAGACGAGCAGGCCCAACAACAACAACATAACTACTCAAATAAGATGATTACAAATAAGGCCCAAATAGCAGCCCAACCCAAACAACAATTGTTTCCTCCAATATCACCACAAGCAATTGGAATTGGAAGACCAAGAGTTATCTTAAAAATTGCTCAGAATAAAGAGGTTTATTTATTTATTATTTACTAGCAAAATTGGTAAATTAATCATTGAATAATCAAAATAAAAATAATAATAATAATAATATCTTATAATAATATTTTATAATACATAGTAATAATAATAATGATGTTCATGAATGTTATTAAAAATCATATAAAATCGTAAAATAAATATATATATATAAAGAATATGAGGCAAAAGAAAGAAAAGATCGATTCATAGAAGGTAATACAGAAATGACGAGAGAAAAATAAGGAGAATAAATGACAACACAGAAAACGACTCAAACAAAAAATACTAAAAAAGCCTAAGAAAACAACAAAAAGAACTGTCTTTCTCATATATTTATATATATAACAGGAATACGAGGCCAAAGAAAGAAAAGATGGGAGTCATTAGTCAGAGAAGGTAATACAGAAATGGACAAGCGGAAAATAAGGAGAGAGAATAAACGACAACACAGAAAAGGACTCGAAAAAAATAATTAAAAAGCCTAAGAAAAGAACAAAAAGAACCGACTGACAAAAAAAAAAAAAAAAAAAAAGAAAAAAAGAAAAAAAAAGGAGAACAGGGAAAGAGGAAACGGAAAGAATAAAGCAGTACAAATAGCAATCCAATGGAGACGGAAAACCAAAAGAAGAAACAACCACAAGAACCCCCAAAACCCTTCTTAGAACACAGCATTTTTTTTACATGCTGGTATTATACTGAACCCATATTGTAGGACGTTTCGCAGCAAGCTTGAATAACAATAAATTGGTCTTTATATAGTCAGTTATCCTTGGCGGGCATATCAAAGAAAAATAGATGACTCCGAATGCTAACTCAAAACAAGAACTGGAAGGACAATATAATAGTTCACAATTATAGCTCATATATTTACGCTAGAAAAAACGTACATATATACATATTTTTGTTACAGGAGTTCACAAGAACTGGAAGGACAATACAATAGTTCACACATATAGCTCATATATATACACACTAAAGAAAGTACATATATATATATATATTTTTGTTACAGCAGTTCACAAAAGAAGGTAAAGTTCATCCATCACGCTTTCCTTCTTTGCCGCTCATAGCCATTTTAATGTCATCGGCAATAGCAATGGCGTCTGACGACACCCCGGCCAATCCCATTTTTGATAAACCGGCACAATATATGCCGTTTTCACCCTTCCAGTGGAATGGGAAATGGTTTTTGGGCATTCCACCTTCATTGAGAACATAGCCGTAGTCCTGCACATATTACAAAGCATTCATTAGGGTATCATACCAATAAAAGAGAAAAGTGAGATTCCAGATTTATATGATTAAATAACCTTAAGCCAATTTTTGGCTGTGCTTTTGTATCCCGTTGCAAAAACTATTGCGTCAATTTGTTGCTGGTCACCATTCTCAAACACCACAAATTCCTCTTTGATGCATGATATTGCCGGAAAAACCTAATAATCATCAACACTCATAGAATGAGAGCATGCCAAAACAAATGTTCCTTGAACTATCATTTTCTCTGTAATATTCACTGTTGTGTATACCTTTATCGCTCTGGAACGAATTTTCTCAACAGTTCCAACATCGATAACGGGAGATCTACCAGTTGTCCCTTTAAGATAAAATGGGCCTTCTGCTGGTCGATGAATCCCATACTTGGATAAATTGCCATACTTATGCTCAGCGAGCACTGTGATGAAATTGTCAATCTCAGAAACCGAGAGATACTTGAACAACAATTGTCCAATCAATACCATTTCTTTGCTCAGAACATGAAACTGCAACCAATACACGAATGAAAATCAAGTAAAGCATAAATCGATTTTTCATCACCATCCAAAATTGAATAAGCATTTAGAGTTTGTTTGTTCATTTAGCCTAGCATGACATCAACTGATCAAGAACACATGTTCCATAAAAGAATAGTATCGATATTAGTGGCTATTCATCTTTGATTAGGGTTTCATCAGACATATATACCAGTTTAAAAGGACGTCCCAAGAAAGAATTTTGGGGTGCATGGACTGACACATTAAAATATGATGGGTAGCATTATTGCCGGAGAACTCATTTGAAGCACATAAAACCGAATTTATCTAAATCATAAACATTTCCTACTATGATTTGTAATTTATGAATAAAATAGTGTTGAATTAAAAGAAAAAGGCTACGAAGAACTTAAAAAGGAAGATTGGAAACCAAGACTAAATGACTTTGTACATAAATCTGCATACATATATAGTTCACAAGTTATAGCTAGTACATTGAATTACAAAAATTAATAGGAGGGAAAACAAAAACAAAAACAAAACTTCATTTAAGAAAAAGTGCTAATTACAGGGGATATAATTACCATAAATTATTTTTATGCTTCAAATTGTATCCTGTACTATTACTGTAAACTTGAAAAAAGATCCAACGAAATCTGGTCAACTCCGTCATGCAGGAGAATTAGGAAACTAAAATATCGCATGACTTCATTGTTCATAAATTTACCCTACTGTTATATGAAAAATATAATATATCATAATTATATTATTTTAGTTCCTAGAATTTTAAAGTCAGATTTGTCATTTTAATTTGTGGATCAAGGCTTTAAATACATGTAAAAACTCCATTGTTTTTGTACTGCATCAAGTTATTTTCTTTGGTTCTCAAAATATATATATATAAAATGAACATTACCAGAGATTATCTAATACTAATCTATGATTAGACAAGTTGAATCCCAGATCTGTGACATGCATAAAAAAATTGAATTATACACACGCAAAAACATACAAGTTGATGCAAATCTTGCCCAGATCCGTGACATGCATAAAAAGAACTGAATTATACACATGTAAACACATCCAAGTTGATGCAAGTCTTTCCCAGATCCATGAAATGCATCAAGAAAAAAATTGAATTACGCACATGCAAAACCTTTGAGCGGGGGGCGGGGGGGAGTCTTACCTTGCTTCTAACCACAATTGAAGTGTGGGCTCCGAAATTTGATAGGTCATAAGCTATCTCCATTCCGGAGTTTCCACATCCAACAACCAAAACCTTTTTATCCTGAAACCTTAAACCTGACTTATACTCACTGGAATGGACAACTTCGCCACTAAAGTTTTCCAGACCAGGCAGCATAGGGATATAGCCGGCACTGTTCTCACCACAAGCAACAACTAAAAACTCTGAAACATATACCTTCATCTCCCCAGAGATGGTATTTTTCACTACAATCTGCCATCTATTTTTGCCTTCCTCATAATCAGCCGATTCAACAGAATGACAGTAAAGAGGGCTTATATTAAAGCGCAAAACATAGTCATCTGCGTACCTAATGAAGGCATTTTTCGACATGAAAACGGGACTTTTTGGTGAATGCTCAAAGAAAGGAAGGCTACAAAATTGTTTAGCTAAATGCAGGTGAAGCCGATCATAGCTTCTCTTTTTCCACAGAGAGAACGAGCAGTCCTCCCTTTCCAAAACTAGGTTTGGAATAGAAAGACGTGATAAACAAGCTGAGGTAGCTAGGCCAGAAGGACCTGCTCCTACAATGACTACCATCACTTCCTCCATTGTAGATATTTACTCCTCTCCCTTTCTTGGTTTTGGTTTTCTGATTTCCACAAGAAGCTTTGTAATGGAAGAAAGTCGCATCAAAATAATTACGTACGTCCACTTGTTCTATGGAGCGGGAGACGTGTTGGTAGAGTACAATTTTCTACTGAAACGGACGATAAAGAATCCTCGACCACATTCTAGATCAGGTATTGTCATCACTACATAACCCCAATTGTATATACACTTCGACTATGGTTATGATCTTTCTAACCTTAGTGCTAAACCAAGTGGGAGGGTTCCATTATCAAAATTAAGTTTTGCTTTTATATATTTTGTCCTTTTAGCTTATTCATTGTATTTTGATGATAAAAACAAAGTAAAAGGTGAATGGTGCCAAATGCATGCATGGAGCTATTCATTATTATTATTTTTTTTTTAGTAACTGTTATAAGTATAATTACACATTAAATGCAGCTTATCTTCTTCTCAGAAATCCACAAACTTCAAAACTCGTAAGTTATGCTCATGCATAAGATTACTGCTTAACAGTTAAGTAAATGGCATTGAACCTAGCTTAGAAACATCTTCCTGGTAGTCAATGATTTTCTTTAAGCATGTATTATGCCGCTTTCGATGAAGATAACGAATAAATTTATGAAACACTCGATGCGCAGTAGTGTATTAGTTTAACTTAAAAGTTAACACATTCTTGATATTAAGGGAACTTTTAGCCAAAAATGCATGAGTTTTTGCTGCATTTTAGGACAACGGTTTTGGTTAATAAGTTAAATGGCGGCATGGCATTTGCAAACCTTGGAGGATTTCATTTAACTAACATAACTAAGAAATCTACATGATACATAATAACGGCTTAAGCTGAACTAGCTAACAAAAACATAGTTCACCAATTTTTTCTCCCTTTTCTTGGATTACCTGATACATTGGAAAGCAATTCTCTATTCAGAAGTACTTATATAGGGAGGTCAATTGGAATAATCTCATCTAAAATTAGATGTCTATTGTAAGATGTCATAATAAGGGCAGTATGGTTCTTGTTGATTCATTTATTGTTTAATCACAGATGTGCTTATTTTTCCCACGAGCAAACGTGTAACCCTAACCTAAATCTCATAAGAGCCACATAAACTAGTACGATTTTAAACTCCTAACCTCTTTAAATAGATATATGTCTGTAACCAAACCATACCAACTAGTAAATAATTAGTAGTTTAGATAGAAAAGATTCTAGGGTAATATGGATTCGTTACTTTAGCATAAAATGCTTGAGCATCAGTACCATTAGCAAGGGTTCGAGCTTCAGAGCAGTCACTTTGTCAAATACCAAGGATTCGGTTTGTCTAGACTCTCCAGTCCTCCCTTCTAGAGTACCCGCTATGGTAGGACCAAAACTGGGAAGTCTTTTTTGTTTCTCCTAGGCTTATTCAATGGACTAGAGTTAATACAATCAAGTTGATAACCGAGATGATTGCGAAAATTCTAATTTATATAATTAGTGTTGAGTTGTCATTATATTATAAGATTGGATTGAATCAGATTATTTTCTTATTGGAGCTAATTTAGATACCCCAATTTAAATCCAATTGGTATACAAACCTAGTTTTACCTATCAATATGGTTGCACATAATTCATCTTGTATGAGACATCTATTTTTTATTTTTTTTACAAATAAATGTTGGGGTAGCGGAAGCGCGCGAACAATGAGATCCAATGAAAGCCAACAAGTCAATCACCATACACAAACACAATATATAATGTGGTTCGGCCAAAACCGGCCTACATCCAATAATCAAAAGAGATTCCACCATGATTCGTAGAGATATTACAGCAGTAGAGTACCAACACTATGTACATGCTTTTACACCATGTACCACTTTACAAGCCTCTATCCTTGTTACTAGTGGCACTGGTGTTTTTCCTACTCTACCAGCCTGTAAACTATCTCTACCCATCAACTCAATCATGAGACTATGGGCCTGTTTGATTTCCTACTTAAGCGCTGAATACAAAAGACGGTAAGTGATTTTTAAAAATAAGTGCATTTGATAAAATTTTAGGATACCGCTTAATATGGTAAGAACCGCTTAAAAGAGGCCAAAATTTTAAGCGAGGAAATGGTTGCTTATCGCTTATCGCAGAAGACGGTAAGTGATTAGGTTTTAAAACTATTTTTTTAATGACTACTCTACCCTCAAATAATCACGCTCTCTTCTAGACTTCTCTTTGCAGTTTCATTATTCTCTTTGCGATTTCTCTCTGCATCTGGAAATAGAGTGAGTTCTCTCTATTCTTTAAAAAATATATAATTTTACCAAATTCCCAAAATAATAATAATAATCATAATAATTCTACGTATTATATTATAAACACGTCTCTTTGGTTACCTATTCAAATTGATTTAACACCAGTATTTATATAATAGAATTCTATTTATAGATAAGAATTCTTTTTCACCTATTTTCTTTAATATTTTTAACATCCTTTTCGATACCGTACATAAATATTATATAATCGAAAGCCCATATATTTTAAATTTTCTATCCCTTATTTATATAATAGAATTCTATTCCATTCTTTTTCATGTACTTTCTTCGTAACACCCTTTTCAATACCATACATAAATATTATGTAATCAAAAATCAATATATTTTAAATTTTATTTTCTTTAATCTTTGTAACACATTTTTCGATATCCTACATAACAATTTAACAAATATTATGTAATCCAAAACCCATATATTTTAAATTTTACTTTCTTTAATCTTTGTAGCACCTTTTTCGATATCCTACATATATGTTATGTAATCCAAAATCAATATATTTTAAATTTTCATCAATTATTTATATAATATAATTCTATTTCTAAATAAGAGTTTTATTTTTTTTATGATTATTTGACATTATTATTCATTGTTAAATTGATATATTTCATTGAGTGAATTAATGTGGTTATTTTATTAATATTTTTATATTATATATATAAAATTGTTATGAGTACCATATATTGAGGGCAAAAATGTAATCTGTACAACTTTCAGACTTCAACTTTTGTATATAATGAACAATTTTAATGAATTGAGTACTTAAAACTAAAACATTATCAAACGGGTTTTCAAATTAATACATTCAGCACTTAAAATTTCAGCGCTTAAAATTCAGTACTTAGATTTTCAATACATAATTTTCAGTTTTATCAAACAACACCTACATCTCTCTCAATCTCATAAGTCTCAACACACAACCTACATATCTATCTATAGAGTTACAAATACAATTCATTGAAGTTCAAGACTTGTCTAAAAATTACCTAGTAAAATACAACACGAAAATAGAAACCTAATTAAACTAGGAATTTGAGACACAAGTCCCAACAAACTCCACCTTGACTCATTCCATCCGGTCAATCATCACTTGCCACAACATTGATTCATTGCAGCTACAATATTGCACGCAAGCCAAATCACTCTTTAGGGACTTCAACCCACGATCTTTTCCACGACTCAACCTAATTTAAGGACTTTAACCCAAAGAGCCAATTCTTCCATACTCTGTGGATTGCATACCAAGATGTCATGATCCTCCTGAAAAATTGTGATTGCCCACACTACACAATGCTCGATAAATCAAACCTCCAAAGCTTCACCTTGACTACTCGAACTCCATGCCATGAAACCCATCACAATTTTTTAACCATCGTGATCAAACAAGCCGATAGACTCCACTTGCAACTGAAACTTGTTCTGTTGAGATCCTTGTGTTTTCTGGATCTGTTTCACCTTTGATTCTAATACAAATTTTTTAGGGGTGACAGAAGCGTGCGAACAACGAGATCCAATGAAAGCTAACAAATCAATCGCACACAAACATAAGATTTAATGTGGTTCGGCCTAAGCCGACCTACATCCACGGATGAGAAGAGACTTCACTATGATTCGTGAAGATATTACAACAGGAGAGTACTAACAACACCGCATAGATGCCTTTTAACCAAGTACCTCTCCACGAGTCTATCTCCTCGCTACCAGTGCCACTAATGTTTTTCCGAATCCTACTCTACCAACCCATATACTATCTCTACCCATTAACTCCTTCATAAGACTACATCTCTATCAATCCCAGATGTCTCAACACTCAGCTTAGGTATCTATTTATAGAGTTACAAACACAATTCCTTGTTGGACAAGGATTACAATTCCTTGGAGCCAAAGAATTGTCTAAAAATTACATAATAAAATAGAAACCTAATTAAACTAGGAATTTGATAAACAAGTCCCAACAATAAACTATATTAAGGAGATACTATATGTACAACAACAAAGGTCATTCCCATTGAAGAAGAACAAGAGGCTAGACAAGGCAAAAAAGTCAATAAATTACTTTATGCAAATAAATTAAAGATTAGGTTCTGAACACACTTTATTAACAAAGACCGTACTGGATACTAGTCTTTCATCAAAGAAAAAACAAAAAGACAAATTATTATAGGAGCAAGTTGTGGAGCTCTAGCCTCTAGGTATTGACTTGCACCAATCTAGTTTTAGGGTTAGCTGATTGGGTGGCTAAAAGGTATTTGGTTTACCAGCAATTTATGAGCATATATAGTGGGTCTACTTACATAAAGTCACTCGAAAACCACTAACGATATTTCAGTTATATGTACTTCATACTTTTTGGATTGAGGTATACAAGACAACAACATATAATAGTAGGCGTCTAATATATTTTAGTCCGAACGGCAACACCACATCATTAACACGTGAAATATCTGTAATGAAAAAAAAAAAATCACTGATCAATCACAAAAAGCCAGAATCATCGCCTCAAATTTGTTGCGACGGCTCTGTACCCGCTGCTTATCACATATTCACGTGGCTGTCAATAATTAGTTGATAACGGACCAGTTGTCCCTCATAAATACTCTACGTAAGTGGGGCGCAGATACCATTTGACGTAAATAACTATTTGCAACAGTAATATTTTGTCGTCTGATTGAACTATTTCCGAAGGAAGA